TATAGAAAAGTTACACGTGTAGCCAGTTGTACACTCGTCTAATAGTTCATTATAGATACGTCTATATAAAACATGTATCCGATATAAGTATTAATAAAAAGCTCGGACCAAAGAGGTCACCTTAATACCGAAAAAAAAAAAAAACTTTTGTTATGTAACTAAACAAAATATTCTATTTATAATTTTACTATATATTAATTTTTTTTTCCTTTTTGACAATTTTGTTAAAGTTATTCTTGTGTCCTATATTTTCAAACTAATTGTTCTCAATGTTATTGATTACTAGACTTTGATCATCTGATCTGTATTTTTAAACTTTTCAAGAGTGATCTGTTACACCAATCTCTACTAGGATCAGATAGTTTTGGCAGGCTCTACTCAAAACTGACTGTCATCATGAGTTCATGTAATATCTCTCATTGTTAGACTTTTGACCTCACATTATGTTTCATAACTTCAATTATTCCAAATTAGGTTCTAACTTGTGTTTATCATCAAGTGACTTCTTAATCACAAGTTATTTGTCTTTTTTAGAAATAAGTCTGTCTGATAATGTTCTGAATTTCTGGTATCACAATGTTGCAGTTAACTATTTTTAAAAATGTATCTTTACAATTGTCATCACTAGAATTTGAACCAGCAACCTTGTGATTGTAACCTCAGAGCATAACTACTATGCTATTGACTCTAGAAATCAATATTAATTTTAACCTTAACTTTAATCTAATTTTTATTATGTACTTATATAATTTTGTTAAAGAAACAAAAAAAACATAAAGACACTGTTTAGATTTTTTATTTTTCATTTTATAATATATATAAAATTAATTTTTTACAAAACCAATTTTTTGACAATTTGGTTTTTTTTTCAACATCTAACCTATATAATATATATATCTTTAGCAATGTTCTTAAATAATTTTTAAATAACTAAATGAATAATTTTTTTACTAAGTAAAATAACTACATAATAGTTTATATATTATATATTAATCAGTAAATAAATTTGATAAAATAGATTAATTATATTTCAAAATGCTGGTTATTTGAAATACTAATCTATAATGGGCATGAAGAAGTCTCAGAGGCCGGGAGCATGCCTATTTAACAGAAGGAAACGTATCTGATCCAAAGTGAATCTCACACCGTGTGTGGGATTCACTTTGGATCGGGTAAGTTTCCTCCTGTTTGCCTATTTCGGAGGCCACTGTACATAATGCTAATCAATCAGATTTTGTAATATTACAAAAATAATTAATCAGTCACACTTTATATCAGCTGTTACGTACTACGTAAGCATTAGTGTTTTGCACTGTACAAATAATTAATATAGAAAACATACGACTGACAACAACTCCGCAACCTCTGCAGCTCACCCACAAGATTTTTTCGGCACGTGATTCTAGCCAATTGAAATTTTACCTATGAAACTGTCTTCTGCGTTCTAATAAAAAAAATTCATCGTGAAATTTTAGTATAAGCTATGCCCTTCCTCATCTCTTATCCTAACCTTAAGATGATGCTTCTTACTTTAAAATCTTTCGCTAATTCGATTGTTTTGATTTTACGTTACACCTGATCCTTCGATATAATTGGCTAAAAATCACGTACCGGAAAAAATCTTGTGGGTGAGCTACTATTAATCAACACCGCTTGCCTTTCACGTGTGTCCACAGTAGTACAGTAGTAGTACTTCAAACTCGATGAATAAACCGGATGATAAAGGGTTTTTATTATACCGGTATAATAGAAATGGTAGGTATAATACAATGTTTTGCTTTTATATAGTTTAAATATGGTTCCGAAATTTCTAAAAATTTGCTTGTTTAAATCGGAAATCTTCGTATCCTCAAATAAACCGATTTAATTGGCTAAATCGTTTCTAATTATGGTATTATACGGTATTATACAGATATTATACCAATTGTATAATGCGACACGCGTTACTCGTAGCCCAATACTTTTATATAATTTTACTATTGTAAAATAATATAAAAACTCGTGTAACAATACTTGTTGGCGAATATAATATATAAATAACAAATGTTCATCATGTTCTAAACTTTCAAAAATGGATATAAAACAGGAACGCGAAGCGATTGTTAAAACCGTATTAAGGAATGAGTGCGACAACTATTTATACGAGTACCTAATACAACGAGAAGAACAAGCTTCATTCACTGAAGACATGCGGTCTGAACATGATGGCTACATAGCTGAATTACGCAAATTAATAAATGACTCTGAGCTTGGAGATAAAGCGAAGATCGCCTGGGACACGTTTGAGGCATGTTTTCTGTCTTTTTTATCTTGACATTGTGACAAGTTGATATTATTCAAGTAAGAACATCCTCTGGCTGGTCTTATGATGACCCTCTGGCTCGAGTAATATCAATGATGGCTTTCACCAAGTAAAAGCACCTTCTAGCTGTTTTTATGATGAACCTCTGGTTCGGGCTTTATCTATCAAACGCACCCTCTGGCTACGTTTGTGTTTTGGATAAAGTTTAGTCGGTCACAATGAGTTATATAGCAATATTTTATATTCAAAAATTTTTTACAGAACATTTTTTATTCTATTACTGGTGTATTTCCTTTTAAGATGGAAAAAAGGCTCAAGTTGTTTTCAACTTCTGGGATGAGATTCAAAAATTTAGAGAGGAAGAAACTGCGGTCCGTGTCGAGTTCGTTGGGTCATCTTAATGTTTTCGGAGTATCGGTAAGCATTGAAATGAGATGTTTATGTTGTGCCTCAGACTAAACTCCAGTAGTATTCTATATTTTGAATCACTTTGGAATCGTCTTATCTTCATTAGCATTCTTGAATCTTTGGTAATTTACAGCCAACAGTAGCATTCTTTTACATTTAGTCGCGCCTCATTCCTTTTGAATTTCTTTTGTTCGTCAGCATATTCTATTTCCAATTAATACGTACATTTTTCTCTATACAAATAGTTTTTTTTTTTTGCCTAAATTTTCACGGCATATTCTTTCTAAGTTTTCGTCTAAGCTTTTCAGCACGTTCAGTCTTCAATAATTTTTATACATATAATTTTTTTGTGCTTATTGACCGATTGATAGGTTACGCACCTCACTTAACAATTTACATCTGAGGTGCGTCAGCTGTGATCTGAGGCACGTGTTAGTCTGAGGCACAACATTTATAAGGAAATCTTGATTATGTTTTAACATCTTTTTTTACAGCTTACTCAGTACGCAAGAGCACAAGAAGAATCAAGTGAAGGTGTATCTTTACCAGTACGTCGTAAGCGAGAATATAAAAATTGTGATACAAATGTATGTGAAAATAATGTAAAGATTTATATATAAAGATTACGATATTCATCATCGTGATCTCTATATATAAAGTTATTTAAAAAAGGACCATTTACAAGGATTTTTGATATACCCGGCATATGAATCATTAATACTAAAAGGCTCATTTATTTATATTTAGGTAAAAAAAATCAGAGTAGATGGTCAGGATTCACAATTAGACGATGACAGCGAGCTCACTTCCGCTTTTGAAGATGAGACTAATTGCACAACAATTGGTCCTAGTATATCAACAAACGATAATAATAATAAATCATCCGAGTTGATTCCCTATTCAGATAATCAAGATTTTGAAGACGATCTTGAAGAAATTGATTTGGATTTAGCGAAGCTTTCAAAGGAACTAGAATGTGAGCCCACTGTTAAAGTATTTACATTTTAATATTAATTGTTTTTATTTCTTATATCATGTACGTAGTCTTCTGATCTTTTTTAGCATTCTTTTTTTTATTTATTTAGTGGGCAGTTGGTTGCATTAATGTTTCTGATAGATTTAGGCAATATCAAAAAGAAGTTTTCAAAAAAGCGGTCAGGCGAAGTTTAAAACACGCAAATATATATGAGATTTTGTAAGTATTACATATAAATTTGACTATATAACAATATATTAAGACATGCAAGCATCGTTTTTCTTATTGTGTTTAGAGCTTTATCATCTATATTAGTGTTATGCTGGCCATGCCCCTATCCAATCTTCACAAACAGAGAATGGAGGGAGATAATGAGCACCAACCCTTATGCTATGAACAAGCCACCACTTCCGCAAGAAATTTCATCTTCTCTCCGTGAAGCTGCTAGCAGACGTTTGAGTCGTGGGGATGTCTTTATGGAGTGCGGAAACTCAGATTTAAATAGATTAGTCGCGCTCATGTTTAATAACTTGTAAGCTTACCTGTCTATATACGATGCATCCATAAATTTTTAGCATATATTAAATTCATTATTTTACAGATACTACGGTATTCCAGAGGTTGTACCACCGAAATTATCTGAGGAAGAGCACTGTGATATGTTCATATACCCGATCGCTCGCTCTTTCCGTAGATCTGAAAAAGAGTATGAACTTAGGCTAAACCGCACCACTACAGGATCAAAATCAAGACCCGACTTATCGTGTGTTGTTAATGACATATCAATTTTAAATTCAGAATTTAAGCCCCTTGGGTGCACGCCATTACAAGAGAAAAAAGACAGACTAAAAGCTCATCTAAAATCTCGCAAGTCAATTAATCAACAGTTAGAAAGAAAAGGTGGTCCGGCAGAAAGTGTCATATTTCTAAATATTGGTATGTACATGATATGTTAAGAGTCTGTACGTACGTAGTGTTTTGGCGAAACCTAAAAAGGAAATTATAACAATTCACTTGTTTACGTATTAATTATTGTTATAATTTCCTTTTTTGGGTTTCGCTCGCAACACTGCGTACGTACAGTAGCCAACAAAAGTAACGCCCGATGATCATTTTTATAGTAAAACATATTGTCACGGGTAAATAGGGCGGATCCTAGGATGGAGCGAATGCGACGAATTGTCGCTCCAGAATCGTCGACGTCGCGTAACGTTACTCG